GGTTGTATATATCGATATATATATGTGTGTGTGTGTGTGCGTGTGTGCGTGCGAGGACTTAAGCAGGTGACCGCAGTATGAAAGAGTCAGAGATTGTATCTATATAGGTATCCGCCGGTTTGTAGATATTGTACCGTGGCTGCAAATTGTTTCTCTGTGAGGAAGTATTCTTCTTAGTGTACAATTTTTAGAACAATCGCCCTGAACATCACCAAAATATAAATGCGTGAATTTAATCAACACGTTGTTCTTTCACAGATATACCAAGATCTGAAAATGCCAAAAAACAAGAACAAGACGAGTCAAAGCAGGCCTGTCAAGGGGATTGAAGAACAGAGTGTGTCGAGTGTTGGAGCGTTGGTAGACCGTAGCCATGCGGTATGTCAGCCTGTGTACCATGGAAGTACACATGAAGGTGTCGAGTGAGTGTTGGTCAAATTTTCTGATGTGCTGTGTGGTTGGCACTGCTTTTTAGATATACGAATTCCGGTGAACTGTAGTACTGCAACATGCTGGCCATGTGTACCAGAATTTGGACGTGAGGTATATAGCTACAGTTTTTTCATTGGTTGAACTTGCAGTGAGTAGGCTTACCCCACATGATGCTTTCACTGAATACGGTGTACAGTGTATAGTCATACTCGTAGTGGATTACTTCTATATTGTATTGGCCTTTCAATGTATTCGATGTTGACTTGGCACCGCTAAGTCTTTTTGGTACACGAAATTCACATTACTTGCTGGTGAATGGAGCTTTTATGTAGTTGGATACTAATAAAGAGCCTGCTTACTCAGTATCCGCGAGATGTATCATTCGCCGAACTTTTGTGTATGGTAGGTGGACTCGTGTCCTGTGATCAATATCATTCTGGCGATTCTGTAAAAATCTATAGTTTTTTATCCAACTGCCAACTCTGATGTCCCATTGTATCTATGTTTACTGTGTGCACTGGTATTGGCGTGGGTTTGTAGTGCAGTTCAGCACATTGAACGTGTATACTCTGCAACGACGCTCTTTCGAGAGTTGGTCAGGCTGATCAAATCCATGTACCGTCTATTTAAAATTACTTTTCCTGCTTTGCGCCTCATCAGCCGCGAGATCTTGCTTAAATCCTAAATTCACAAATTCATTATATCCCTTTTCAAAGGCCGATGAAAGTAGCGATAATTTATCGGCAGCGAGGTAAGTGAGTCTTCTGGACTAGAAACTGGGATACTACGCTTATGTTGTTGAGTATGGCGTACTGTTCCTACCTGTATCCTCATGCACGCATAGCATCCCAATGAGCACTGTCATTCTGTGAGTGATTTGTGAGTGCTGCGCAAGGTTGCACTTGCAATATTCGAAATAGACCCGTGAGGATCCTTAGAACGCCTCTGAGCAGCTTTAAACACCAGTCGTGCTTATATTTGGATATATGATTTGAGATTCACAACTTGATATGAGGTTGTGATACGTAGTATACATTGCGAGTATAGTCCTCTTCTCTCAGTTCCAACCTCATATGCAATTGATGAAATAAAAGGGAGGCGGTCTCTGCTGCTGAGTAGTTGGCGTAGACATATTTTTTTGCAACGCTACACATGCCAGGCATCGTGCGCATACCTTTCTGGTACTGAAAGCCCTTATTCTTTTGTAATATAAAGGACCACATCGGTACTGATGTCCATGAGATCGTTCGAAGAAATAACTGATCAGCACGCTCCGGAAGTAGACCCGACCGCACAGAAGATGTATGTCGTAAATACCGATTTATTCTTTCCTTCTTGTGCCGATTCAAGGGTATAGTAAATGGCACACTAGGTGTTTTATGTGTGTATCAAGTTGATCGAGTTAAATATTTGCGATTGTGATAATTCGTCTACGTAAAGTTCATTGCATCTTGTAAGTGACTGCTACGTCTTTGTGGGCTTGTTGTCCAGAATTTGAACGATTTAGATTATATCACGTCACATCGCGTATCACATCTGGCGCGCACGTGTTTTGATCACTGTGAATATGTATAGGACAGCACGCGGGCCCTTGAAGATAGATAAAAAGGCTTTTGTAATTATAGTTGAGAAAAATGGGCTTGGGTTCTGGTTCGATTTTGGAGTGATATCCCAACTGGGTGCCATACTACATCAAGCGTTTTGTATTATTTCAGGCTGTAAAGTGGTTATTTTTGCTTTCATTCACATATCAGGTGCGTTTGCGCATATTCAAATATGTTTGTACGGTTCTTGGTGCGGGCTCTTGTGTCATGTCTGAGCGTATATTTGTTATAATAGGTATGTATGTATATGTCTGCTCTTTTGTTTTCGTTCATTTTTGTTTTTGTTTTTTCCCGATTATAAATGTGGTTAGGGTGCGCAGTGGACCAATCGACTAGTTTTCGCGCAACTAATCAATTCATGGTTTTGCAATTTTGGGGCGATTGATCCCCAATTACATCTTTACCTATTTATTGACTTAGGTGACGGCGTTTCCGTTGTAGACACTTTATCTGTTAGTATGACCTGTGATGCATTTAACCGGTCACTCAACTCTGATGATCGCTCGATATACACAGGGCAAAGTTAACGCATAATAAAAAAGTGGCGAAAAGGCAACGGATATCAGACAATAAGAGAACATCAAGTCTCATTGGAACTCTATGTATACTTTCAATAGGTAGGTAACGTTGGCTTGCGTGTTTATATACGAATCTTAAAAGCTGGAAGCTATCGCGATGTGCCTCTTGTTGGTTCATTCTTCTCTTATGTCGCTTCTATGTGATATGTATACTGTTTGGGCCTCGCAAGCGATATTTACGATTATTGATAGATATACTGTGGAATGACATTGTAGGTATAGTGTGAAGTATTTGCTTGGCTACTCTAATGAAAAGCCTGGGAAGCCTAAATACACAATGTGCTATCATTGCTTTCACTAATTTAGCTGTTTCTGTCTGGTATTGCCGCAGTCGCTGTGATTGCTGCAATAGCATTCTTCGCCACAGGTCACTGGGAAACTGCAGCCGTCATATTAGCCGTGGGATTCGCCGTGGGTGTTCCAGGATGTATGCTACGTTGCTTTGTCTTCTTTTTTGGGTGCCCTAACATATATTGTGAGCATGTACCTGTATACTTTATAGATATAGGAATCACATAATCGCCCCGCTTGAGCAACTTTGAAGCTTTTTCCTGCGTGTTTTTTTGCCAATGCTTTAATATTAAACCTGACAATAAGATGACAGTCCTATCATCACTCTTCTGTTCACAGGGTACTATGCCTTCTATGTTCGCCAAGGTCTGAAAGGGAAGGATGGATACGACCTTAGAAAAATACCAATGTGGCATCAACCCGCGGACAAGCGCAAAAGTGTTGATGGTAGTGGCGATTCTTTAAGCGGTACAATGGCGTAGTTTTTATAAATACATAAATATATACATATAAACAACAACAAAAAATCATGCAATGATTACATCATGGGACCCCATCCCTTCCATTGTGTAACCAGATGGACCTTATTGCCTTAATCGCACCTTAGTCGCATCCGACGAATTGAATTTGATTGGTAATATGCCAGATCAAGTTTGGTATGATATGTAGTGCGCACACATTCGGTACGGTGCTATATGCGATGATCGTATCAAAGCTAGATAATTTTTTATTTTTTAACTGTGTATATGAAGCATAAATATACCTA